AGATAGCAGGGAGCTGCTGCTGCTCTAGGAATGTGTCCGTGTCAGTGGGAGACGGGACTAAACCAGATCAGTGTGTTCCAGCAAAACTTCTCATCAATGAACTGCTTGTGCGCATCCAACATCACATGACAGCTGTAGTATCTGTAGGGCTCTGCCCAATTCAGGGTCCATTTTGGTTAATTTCAGGGTCATAGGATTTAAGATAGCAGGGAGCTGCTGCTGCTCTAGGAATGTGTCCGTGTCAGTGGGAGACGGGACTAAACCAGATCAGTGTGTTCCAGCAAAACTTCTCATCAATGAACTGCTTGTGCGCATCCAACATCACATGACAGCTGTAGTATCTGTAGGGCTCTGCCCAATTCAGGGTCCATTTTGGTTAATTTCAGGGTCATAGGATTTAAAAATTATAAACTTCATAAATTCAGCTGTTTACATTTGAAATATTATGGTGCTGTTGTAGGGTTCTGACCCATAAAGGAGTTATGGGGTTGCAAGGTTGTTGTAGGGGTGAGCTGCAGTAGAGCTATCCTTCTGTGCTGTTTCTTGTGATGGGACAGCCTTCAGAGCTAGGCTGGTGGAAAGCAGTGACTGGTGGCCAGGGGTCCAGCTCTGAAAGCAGTTACAGCCAGTACCAGAGCAGAAGTAAGGATGGTGTGATATGATGGTGTCACTGTTATGTGCTGCTGTCTGCAGAGCAGGGGTCTGTCAGCAGCCACCATTTTCTGGATGCTCAATTCTAAAGGTAGCAGCACGGAAAGGATGTATGGTATGGTATTGCCTCCTTTTCTTCTTCACTGCTGCTTTCAAGGCATTGCCTTCAGAACTGGGCACCTGGTCAACAAAAGCTGTTCCCTGGCCTCCCAGCTCTGGAGGCAGCACAGAAGTAAGGGTGGAAATAGGACGACCCCCCTATAATAATCCTGTGACTCCCTGCAATTCCCTTATAGGTCAAGCCCCCCAATTATGAGAAAAACTGGTCATCCCAATGATATCTGTATAGTAGACGGTACATTTTGGTAAGAACACACCCAAGACCAGATTTCAGGGTTTGTGATGCATTTTTCATGGTCACCAATTTTGCAGGGCCCTAAGTATAGTTTAACCTCCCCATTCCGAAACACTCAGGCTACGTCTACACTGGCCCCTTTTCCGGAAGGGGCATGTAAATTTCACTAGTCGTCGTAGGGAAATCCGCGGGGGATTTAAATATCCCCGCGGCATTTAAATAAAAATGTCCGCCGCTTTTTTCCGGCTTTTAAAAAAGCCGGAAAAGAGCGTCTAGACTGGCCCCGATCCTCCGGAAAAAGCGCCCTTTTCCGGAGGGTCTTATTCTTACTTTGAAGTAAGAATAAGACCCTCCGGAAAAGGGCGCTTTTTCCGGAGGATCGGGGCCAGTCTAGACGCTCTTTTCCGGCTTTTTTAAAAGCCGGAAAAAAGCGGCGGACATTTTTATTTAAATGCCGCGGGGATATTTAAATCCCCCGCGGATTTCCCTACGACGACTAGTGAAATTTACATGCCCCTTCCGGAAAAGGGGCCAGTGTAGACGTAGCCTCAGTGTATTAAATTAGTTTAATTTAATTTAGATGTGGTCGCCTCATCTCAAAAAGGATATATTGGTATTGGAAAAGTTTCAGAAAAGGGCAACAAAAATGATTAGGGGTTTGGAATGGGACCCATGTGAAGAGAGATTAAAGAGACTGTGACTTTTCAATTTAGAAAAGAGGAGATTGAGGGGAGATATGATAGAGGTCTATAAAATCACGACTGTTGTGGAAAAAGTGAATAAGGAAAAATTGTTTCCTTGTTCCCCTAATATAAGAACATGGGGTCACCAAATGAAATTAATAGGTAGCAGATTTAAAACAAACAAAAGGAAGCTTTTCTTCACACAGTGCACAGTCAACCTGTGGCATTCCTTGCCAGAGGATGTTGTGAAGACCAGGACTTTTTAACAGGGTTAAAAAAAGAACTAGATCATGGAGGTTAGGTCCATCAATGGCTATTAGCCAGCATGGGTAGGAATGGTGTCCTCTGTTCGTCAGAGGCTGGAAATGGATGACAGGAGAGGGATTGCAGATTCCTTGTTCTGTTCACTCCCTCTGGGGCATCTGGCATTGGCCGCTGTCAGCAGACAGGATACTGGGCTATACGGACCTTTGGTCTGTCACAGTATGGTCATTCTTATGTTCTTAAAGAAAACAGTGGAAATCTGGAACATATGCTTCAGAGATAATCTCAGTCTGCTCAAATACAACTCAGTCTGCTTTGATATCATAGCCATATGAGCCTGCCAAGTTCCAAGTTTGGGACAAGGACCTAGAATGAAGGTCCATGAGAATGCCATCGTAAAGGGAAGTGGGATCTGGCTAGACGTAAACATTTTCTTTCGATGATTCTCTCTTTTGAGTGTCATAAATACATTATAGCATTTAGTCCACTAGATCACATGCAAGGTTGGGAGCCAACGGGCTTTTGTTCTGATTGTGGTGTTGCAACCAATTAAATCTGCGGATTGGATAACTCACGTAATCCCTGTCACTCTTTGTTAAACAAATAATCCATTCTCTTTGGTAGTTCGGGGGAAGGGGAGAGTTTTATAAGTGTGACCAGTGCAGTCCTCACTTAAACAGCCAATGAAGTGCCTGTCATGCACCTGTTCATTGTTTAATTTCAGTTTTTTGTCCTTTTTCTTTGCCATTTTGTTCGCAATTTGCATGTTGCCGGACAATTTTTATTTCATTTTAATAGTAGCACTTTGGACTTTTGGTAGGATTTATGCTTTCTAAAAGTAAAGAAACTGCTAGGACTACAATTCTTTAGTTGATTATTAATGCTAGTAAGGGATAATTCATGCTATAATAGAGCTTTGGGGATTTAATGATCTATACTGAATAAGGAAGTTTGGACCAAATGTTGGACAGCAAGAGAAATATGATTGTTTAAAATCCTCTTTGAAGGAGAACAGTTACTTTTCACATGGCTTAGTTGATCAAAAGCCGAGCCAAATTGCTTTCAGTACCTGCAATAGCCATCATGTTTTCACAATTCTGCTAATTCTGGGAAGGATGCAGGAGAGTAACATTACATATTTTTGTCTATGTATCTTTGTCTTGTTGAGCTTTGTAGCTTTTCTTTAAGTGAAAACTGCCAGAAGTGACATGGAATTGACTTGTTTGGATTGTGAAACTTCCTATTATCATAACATTGTTGAAATTGTATACTAATAATGTAGGTCAATATAGACAAAAAAGGGGAGTCAAACCTAAGAAAGCAATATGAACTGGAAACAAATTCTTCTAGCAATTCAGCTGGATGCACACAATTTGACTTTGCTTCTCCTTTTTAATTCAGCTCTCTTAACGCTTTATTTTCCTCAGGAGAGTGTGATTTTTATCTTTTCCCTGATGACTCTGCCTCAGTTTAAATCACTGGTTAAATTACTAAAGTTACCATTATCTTTCTCTCTTACCAGTTGGTAAAAGATTTATTTTTGTGATGATTTCTACTATTGGTTCCAGCAGTTTACTAGTAGGCCCTAATATAAAAGTATGCTGTCAAAGATTAGATTAGCTTGGGAATGTGGATTTAACAAATGTTGTAGAGTTCAGTGAAGAATAAAAGTGGAGTACATTGCTAATGCATAGTACGTGTACCTAGGTTTCCCTAAGAATTGTTTAAGAGGAAGCTTACCAGGCTGATTGTGTTTTATAGCTCTTGCTATTAGCAGACATATTATTCGTTTCTAGAAGTGCCCATAATAAGTGCTTTCTGGAAAAGTAGATGTAGGGTTAGTTGCAGATGAACTTGGGCAATGCCATTTAGGCACATGGCCACTGAGTCGAATCCATAGCTCTGAGTTAAGTGCCTATGCTCCCTATACAATGTTTGAGGCGATTAAGGTGCCTAAGTATGGGATCCACAAGAGCCAGCATGCTGAGCAGGGAGACACCAATGCTAGGAAATAGGAAGTTCAGAGAAGACGGACATGTCTCAAGCCCTGTTTGTCAAATGGACTTAGGCACCTTCCTCTGCACAGGTTCACATCTGTGAACCCTCTCCTGGAGTTAGGTGCCTAATCCCTTTAAATATTTGTTGGGCGATGGAGAGAGTGAGCATGACTTGCTAGCTGAGTAATTAGGGCACTTAACTGGGAGATGGAAGACTTGGTCCAGTCCCCTGCTTGATGCATCTGCACTATGCCCAGGAGAATGCCCTAACCATTGGACTATGGGGTGGATCTCATGGTCTCCTACTGAAGCTGTGCCAGTGTGTATGAGCTAGGCTCATTGGTTAACTTTCATGGTGACATGCTGTGTCTCTTCTTCCCCTTTCCTCCAGCTGTATCCGAGGCAGCTGCGTAGGGGAGTGGGTGGCTAGACAGGAAATAGTATGCATGGGGAGT